AGATACAAACTCCCATCCCTAACCAGGAAAGTGTCTCCAATCAAGAACAGCTTATGAAGGAAAAATTAGTTTTTTTTCCAATGGCGTCTCAATAAGTATATAGGCCACAAGCCCAGCAGAAGATGACCCACAAAAAACAAACTCATTGATGATTATGGAGAATATTTGTGTCATATTGTTTTGGGAGGACTTTTTTCTTTAAGTATTATTAGTCTTTTGCATTTATACTATGGTTTTCAAGTTTGTGATTTTATTTTATTTTATTTTATTATGCACTTGTGTTTGTATATGTTTATGTGTCGTGTTGTGTTTTTTCATCACCATCATTATTGCTATTGGTTGTGGTTGGTGTTTTGTGTCCTTGCTAATTAGAGAGTGAAAAACGTTGATAGTGGATATCCTTCTGTGAATATTTCTCTCTCTTATTGGTTGATGAATAACGCTGTTTTGGCCAATGGAAAGGCAGGATTTAGCCAGGCAGGCAATCTAAACTGAGATAGTGAAAGGTAGTAGATGGAGTCAGAGAGATATCATTTAACTCCCAAGAAAGCAAGAAGTTCAGGCATCACTGGGTAAGCCAAGACCACGGGAAGATGCACAGATTAATAGAAATAGGTTAATGATTAAGAAAGCTCTAGCCAATAAGAACTCCGAGCCATCTGCTAAACAGTTTATAATCAATGTAAGCCTCGGTGGGTTTATTTGGGACTAAAGGGCTTCAGGACTAGGCAAGACAGAAACTTCTATCCACAGAATATGTGGAGCTGAGTGTGTATGAAATGGGTAGAGACAGAGGGAGGAAGAAGCATGATCAGAATACATTGTACAAACTTACAGTGAAAGAAGAAAATGAAGCCGGGTGTTGGTGGTGCACACCTTTAATCCCAGCATTTGGGGGACAGAGGCAGGTGGATCTCTGTGAGTTCGAGGACAGCCTGGTCTACAGAGCGAGTCCCACGATAGGCTCCAAAGCATTACAGAGAAACCCTGTCTCGAAAATAAACCAAAAGAAAAAAAAAAAGAGGAAGAAGGAGAAAAGAATGATTGGCCACATTCTTTATAAAGGACAGTCAATACATGTAATTATGAAATGCATCTGATTGCCTCATTTCAGATTTTCAAAATTTCATTTTCTAAAAGAACAGGGTACATACCACTATTCTGAAATTGTGACATCATATAGACAGTTGGAAAAATTTACTTATTGGCTGTTGGGGCATGCTTTCATGATGACAACCTGAGGGTACTTTCAATTCCCATGTCTGAGTATAGGCCATGCAATGAGTCTCTAAGCATTTTACAATCGTTTTTAGAGACCTCAAAATGTGCTCGCTCTCTCTCTCTCTCTCTCTCTCTCTCTCTCTCTCTCTCTCTCTCTCTCTCTCTGTGTGTGTGTGTGTGTGTGTGTGTGTGTGTATGTAGGTCTCTGTGGGTGTATGCTAGAGCAAGAAAGAACATTGAAGAAATCATATATTTTTATATTGTGAAAAATGGGTTAGAAAATAGTACTTTTAAACAAGAAAATAACATGACTGAGCATGGAGAAATTTAAGTGGGCAAGAGTGGCAAGAAAATGAGAAAAATCAAATCAACCAAACTAAAAAGTTAGGAGAAAATAATAAGACATTACGTAAGATAATACAAGAAAAAAAAAGGACAAATTAAATTTTCAAACAGAGGTATCCACTGTGTGTAGATAAAGATGGTGCTAGAAATCATAAATGATTAAACAAAACTCTAAAGCAAAAGTTGCTTGGTACTCCTAGATAGCTATTTCTATGGATTCCTGTATTTATGAGACACTTGGTAATATAATGATGAATGATGTAGAAAATAGAAATCATCAGTTAATAAACTGTCCTTGCTGGTTTACCAACTAAATTACTGGAAAGTAAATAGAAAGTTACCAATTAATTTTTAATATGATTTTTAATGTGTAATAATGGGGGAAAGGGTCTTAATTCTTTTGGAAGCAGGGCATAAGTAATAGTTTATCTATTGAACATACAAAAAAAAAAAAAAAAAAAGAAAACGAAAGAATGCAAAATTGTCCTTCAACTCAAGAAGAGTTAGACACAATAAAAGTAGAAAGAGGTGCCTGGGGTTAAATCTCATAATATACAAGCATAAATACACAGAGGGGATATCCAGATTATTCATGATAACCTCTGTAAACATATTGCATTAAGTGACTTTGTGCATGTCATTTCCTGAAATTATTTCATCCTATTTATTTGTACAAAATAAGTCAATAAATAACAGAAGGTCCTCAACCAACCACATTGCTAGTTGTTGATTGACTTTTTTACCATGGCATCAACTACTTCATTGAATCATTTAGACAAAGATGAGGGCACCCCAGAGAAGCAAAGATCTTCTAGGGGTTGACTAATGGTTGGTTCTGTGTTGAGTCTTAGCATATAAAAAACCTAGAAAAACAAAACAATCACAGACTTTATAAAAAGAATGCTTCATATCCCAGTGGTTACAAAAATGGGAAACATTTATTTCAGGTAGACAAGAAATGACTCTTCCACATCCTGTGTTGAGAAAAGTCTGCAGCAGAAGTGTTACATGGTTATTCAAGCTTAGCTACACAAATACATGCAAAGAAGTAAAAGGAGGAGACCATTGCTTCATCAGAAAAACAAGCACTTTTTCCCTGGCATCATGTCTTTGGATATGTACTGCCTTGGAGAAACGTATAAAACCATTTAATATGCGGAACCGTCTTAGAAAACTAGAGATTTTAGTACAAAGAAATCAATGCACTGAAAGAATGCCCACACAAGGTTGTTAGGACTTAGGATAGCCACACAGAGGAACTTTGAACAGAACCCCAGGCCATTGTTACTGACCTGCATTAACATAATTGGCTTATACCTTCTCCAGGCCTGAGTCACACTGGGTATTACAAATGAAACTCGAACCATGATGAAAATACTGATACAAAACAGTCTCAAAGAGATCATTCCAAAAATACCCTTCCTTTCAAAATTGAGCAGGTTAGTCCAGGGTTTCTTTTTGAATGTTTCAGTTTAAAAAAGGTTTGTCAAGAAAATACTAGTGTTTAAAAGATCTCTTCAAATGTCTATTAAATGACAGGATTTTCTAAATAGATTATTTCTTACAAAGAACAATTCAAAAGCTATCTTTCAAGAAACATAACCATAAACTTTAAAATGCAACTTAAAAACATTCTTCTTTCCTTGCATATTCTTCCCTCTTCTAGTAGGGAGAAAAAAAAGAAAAAAAAGAAAGCAAACAAATGAACTGATTTTGTTTATCATGCTTGGGTATTTACAAGTTTAAAATATTCTAAGAATAGAAACCAACTTTCAGTACAAATCAAGTTGAGTTCTACAACTAATGTTTTTCCTATAAAATATTGTCCAGCATAATGCATATCCACATGACTTTTGCAGCTTCTAGAAGGTGCTTGAAATGTTAGGCAGCAAGCTGGAGTGTCTTTCCATCTTAAACAGAATTATAAACACACACATGAAACAAACACCAAAGAAAGCTTTCATGATGTCAGCAAAATAAAATAAGTACAACATAGCCAAACTTCAGTAGTTAAAGCTGGGGTGTACATCTCATGGTTCTCTCATAAAGGGTAGAGTTAAAATACAATTTTCTATTAGGCAATGAATATTGGGTGTGGGTTTAACTTTAACAGCTTAGTCAGATGGCATGCTAAAACTACCTTGTCATTTTCCATTTGTTCATCTCATTTGTGCATGCTGATGGAGTCTGTCTATTGTAAAATGCATCAAAAAAAGGACATGCAGTGGGTTTAACAGTTTCAATACACCCACCATACTAAACATGAGTAGTTACTAGCCCTGATCTTTCCCTAAGGCAACTGCCATTTGATACTCTTCTATTACTAACTGAACATGATCTTGCTATTTAGCTCTCTTGATCTATCTCCTATGCACTTAAGTATGCAAAATATCAGACCTTACATGTCAAAGACTAATGTATGCCACCAAATGAGGTTGAAGTATTTTGGTTAGTGACTTATTTCACAGATCAAATGGCCAAAGTTCACATATTTTAATTTCTTTTGCAAATCTAATAGAGAACTTAGCCACATTGTATATATCATTTACAATAAACAAAACAATAGCTGGTCTTTCTGTTTCTTAACAAAACACTATGGGTTAATGAATATAAAGTAAACCAAGATGCATATAAAAATAAATGAATATTTTGAAAATACAAAGAAAGTGAAGTAAAAGAATATATATTGATTAAAATACTAAATCTTTGAAATTTAAAGAAAAAAGGGTCTCATTTATCTATGACAATACCCACAAAGTGTGCCATTTGGTAAAATTAAGCTGACTCTGTCACTTCATCCTGTGAAACTTTTTATATCAGTAGAAATTTAAAAAACACAATGTCTTCTCTTGTAAAGAGCAGAGCTGTGGCTCTCTGTTCTTTGTGAACTAGTGTAACTAAACATTTCAAAAAACAAAAGAAACGGTCCTTCCCTCCCAATAGCTCCATAAGCTTGAATGTATGTAATAGAGAGACATAGGTATCTCATGTTACATGCACAAAAGCTTCATTCCACTAACAAACACACCATCTACTATAAGCCTTAGTCTGTTCTGCTCTTTCTAGCAACTATTTAATCTAAAACTGTACAGTTCCTTCCTATACTCATTCCTCTAACCTACTTTATAGCAACACCATAAAAGAGACCTATTTGACATTACTTTCTGAAATCTCAATGCATATCAGCAAGTGATACAGAAAAAAAATATAAATAACTTACAGACTATGTAAGACAGCAAGATGATACCACTCCTTATACATGTGTATTACTATACAGAGATCAAAATCTTCTGCACAATTCAACCTAGTAAGTCAACATACTCAATCCCTCATCCTCAGAAATAAAATAATAAAAAAAGCCCATAAGTCTTTGTTTACAGCTAAAAATAAAACAAGTAAAATGAACATGACCACTCTTACATGGCACATGAAACAGTAGCCATTTCTATTGTTCACAGGGCAAGGGACTAACTACCCATCCTGCTGGCCCAGAGTTTGAAACTCTGTGGTATGTAAATTGTGATGGAGAAAAACATTCTTCCTGCTGTATGTGTGTAAGGAGATAGGTCCTCTGGGTGGCTGTCCAAACCTGCCTGTGAAAGTTGAGTGCTGTCGGGACAGAGATACTGGTTCCTTTGGTTTCTCCGGGAACACGGAGAGCCCATCTGTCTTCGTTGCTGGCTTCAGAAAGCTTGTTCCCACAGTGGTCCTCGAGTTCTGTGTCACTTCTGAGGTGACAGATTCGTAAGTACCCCTTGAGTGTTTCATAACTCCTCCTAATTCTTTGTCTTTCAAGAAATTGCTTAGACATAAACCTGGGAGTTGGCAGATGTTCTTGTATGGACTTGTCTGGTCAACTGTGGAGTATCTAAAACGGTCCTCGGTAGGAGTATGTACTGCTTTTCTGTCCCTTGTGCTGAGACTTTGGCTCATGGCTCGAGTCCGGTATGTAGACTGGGAAAGAAACAGAAAAGAAAAATCATCTTACAAAATAGTGTGTAGAAGTGACCTCCAAAACTTGGTGTGCAGACCTGAAGCTCTAAATGAGTGTGAGTAAACACTAGAATGCTCCATGAAATTAAATTCTGAAGTATAATACTCCAACAGTGTCTAATCAAAAACGTGTTTTGAAAACAGTATAGATTTTTCTATAGTTTTATCTACAGCTGTTTTTGTTTTTGTTTTTTGTTTGTTTCTTTTTATTAGATAAGTACAAAAGACCACTACTTACTCTTGGATATATGCATTTAACAATGTACCCAGATAACATAATTCTCAGATTCATGATTTCTCGTACCTAAATAACAACCTAGAATTTAAGGAATTTAAGAACAAAAGTCATTTCTACCATGAAAGGATAGCACTAAATTGGAAGAAAGTTCAGGGCATGGTTTGCTTAGATTTTTAAAAAGAACGTATCTTTCAAAACAGGCCAAATTGCATACCATCTTCCTGCTCCAAGCTTAAAGGTCTGCATGAAATCAAAAATCTCTCTCATTTAGTCTTGGTTTGGAGGAGGAAAAGACTACAGGTTGTCAATCACACTTCTCTGAAGCCCATTGTGTTATGATTTAGAAAATATATTGAAGTAGAAAAATAAACTAGCTGCACTATTGTTTGCTAAAATAAAACAGAAAGGACAAGTCGTCTGCCCAATGAATAACAGAAAAATCATGAGACACAGATGAGGGAGAATGGAGCCGAACTATGGAGCTTGTGGTGTGATGATAGCACACGTGCAGATGGAGCCAGTAAAATTTCCGGTAGCTTGAAATGTAAATGATGTGCAGTAGGGTTAAGTGCTGATTGAAAATCAAATCTGCATATCTTATATCTGCCGGTATCCCAAATTGCTTATCCAGCTGTCATCACTCTGTTGTGTAAGAACAGTTGCTACTTCCACATTACTCCATGCCAAATCAAAGTGTGACTGTCACCATTCTCCCCCACCCCCTTCAATAGAGCACCATTGTTTGTCTTAACACCTAAGAACTGACTTGTGTCATCTTTTCATTATGCTCCTGCCCACTCAGTGCTTGCTGCTGTACTGGCAAATGAAAGCCTCTGGCTAAATACTTTCTAGCACCACCATGGCCAAACCCACTTGCCTGACAATACAAAGCATTTGACATACAATTGCAAATAAGCTTATCTGTAAAAGATTGTACCGAATAGTGTTGTTCAGTATAAAATACATGACAAGAACTCTGCTAATGTCCTCACATACTCCATTACTATGTTGTCATGAAGCTTCAAGGTCATCATCACAGAAATGAATCCCCATGCATTCTGATGAGTTTATAAGTTCCCCTAACTGTGTAGTTTTGCCTACACGTTTCAGGAAAAAGGAAAGAGCTATGTAGACCTATTCCTTTTGTTTTTGCCTCAATGTTTTCATTGACCTGATATTCTTATTTTGTACCATGGTCTCATTTGCAAAGCCTTCAGTCTCTTCCAAGCTACCAAGTATGTCTGAAATAAGATTCAAAGAATCCCTTTTGAAACTAATTAAAAAAAAAAAAAGTACCCCTTTTCTTTGAAGAGACTAAAAGCAGTAACACTTATCTTTATTTTTCAGGAGATTTTTCTAGTCTCGCTTATTTATTTATTTATTCATTTATTTATTTTTAACATCCCAAAGTACTTTTGGTCTTAGTCCTCCTTATAAAAGTGAGCCAAGCTTCTCTCACTCTTTATGGCATGATTTATGATGCTAACCAAAGCACTGACTCAATTGTTAAAGGAATGCCAATCAGCCCTGTCTTTAATTCCTGTAGACAAATGCAGCCATGTGCTAGGCATACAAATACTGCTTCTTAGTAGTGAGAGAGAAAAGTTCTGTTTTCAGTGGAAAGAGACTTTGGAAAATCAAGTGTGATGATGCCAGTAATTCTTTTTTTCTTTTTTTTTTCTTTTCTTCCTGGCATTATTTATAGCCATTATTTATAGACATTATTTATAGGCAATAATTACATAAATCCATGGTGTTCAATAGAATGTTTTGATGTGTGTATTCAATGTTGTGAGTTTAAATTAAGCTGAATGACACACTCATTATCTCTTGCTTCTGTGGTGATAATTTTTTTTTAATTTCTGTTTATACATGAGTTGTATGTGAAAGTAAAGAAGGTGGATGGAAACCTTGCTGATTTATTTTAATAGCACAGTTTGGTAATTTTATTATTTTCTTGATATAATAATTTTAGTCCTTCTTGGACATGTTACCACTTCAAATATACAAATTTTGTAAAGATACATAGATCAAACAACTGAATCACACAGGCTCCTTAATTTTTATCTCCTAGTGCATTCTCTGGCTCTTTCACACGCACATACACACACACAAAAAAAATGATACAAAATAAAATCTCTCAATATTTTATATAGAAATTAATAGTTACATCAATTATTTTCACCTGTTTGGAATGTGCTGCTATTAATACCTAAGTTTTTTTTTTTTTTTAAGTTCTATTATGCTCACCACTAAGGGCAGAGCTTACAGTGGACATAACATCATAGGAGTAAATAATATGGTGGTCAAAGACTTGGAGCACCCATTTATTAGTGTGACATGTTTTGCTGAACATTTCTGAAGCAGGTGCTGCATAAGATGTTGCTATAAAATAGTCATTCTGTACATTCATTGTGAGAATGTGTTGCTCTCTTTCTTAAAAAGAAAGTATGATTGGTTAAGGGTTAGGTATGGTTTTCATGGCAGATAGAATTCTGGGGAGAAAAGGGCAAGAATGACACACAGGTTATTGCCAGACCTTGGCTGGAGGTGAGTCTGGGACCAATTTGGGCAGCCTCTCCATTACACCCTTCCTGCGGGAAACTCCCTAGGTTGGCCTCGGATCCCCCTGCCCCTGTGTCCTGTTGCCATCGAGAGCACTCTTGGTGCTCTGATACACCCCCACCCACCCTCACCAAGAGCCTGCACTTCCCCTACCCTGTGCCCTACCCAGCCCACTGTACTACTGCTCTGGTTGAGCACTGGGACAGAGGGTGGAGCCAACAATCCAGACACCTTCGGAGAACTTATGGGAGCTGCTCTGAACATACGAGACCTGCATATCCATGCAGGACCACCTGTAATTTCCACCTGCCTGGTCTCTGACCCCCACGGCCGGTCCTCTACTGGAGGTCCTGGCCCCTCCCAGAGAGCTGCCTATCTCTGCAGGACCACTCTGAGTTCCTGCCTGCAGGATCCTTGACCTCCATCTCAGGGCCTCTGCTAAAGAGGCCTCAGCTGGAGAGTGTCAGGCCCAGACTAGATCTGTCTATAGGCACAAGGAACATCCTGAGTCCCAGCCTTTGGGATCTTTGACTCCCATTGCCAGTCTTCTGCTGGAGCCTAATCGCTGACCCCCATCACTGGGCCCCTGCTTGTGGAGAGACCTCCTAGAGAGCTTGGACCACCCAGAGCTACAGTCATTGAAACTCTGACCCACCTAAGCCAACCGGGGAAGTATCATAGAGAGAGGGAGAGACCCCACCAATACCTACTGGAAGAAGGTATAGAAAGACAGCAATACAAGAAAACACCAAACCACAGAAACACAAGCATGACACCATCAGAATCTAGGGTACACTAATTAGACAGGAACGCAACAAAGCAGATGAAGCAGAAGGGAACGACTTAAAAATTATTGTAATAAAAATGATAGAGGTTCTCAAAGAAGATGTGAGAAAATCTCTTAAAGAAATGGAGGAAAAAACAAACAAAAATGTGGAAGAAATGAACAAATTTCTTAAGGAAAGAAAGTACAGAAAGTCAAGAAAAAACAAGCAGGTGAAGGAAACAGTTCTAGACTTGAACACTGAAATAGAGAAAATAAAGACAACACAAACTGAAGGATACTGGAAATAGAAAAACTGGGCAAATGATCAGGAACTACAGACGCAAGAATAACCAACAGAATTCAAGAGATGAAAGAGAGAATCTCAGGCACAGAAGATACACTAGAGGAAATAGATTCATCGACCAAAGAAAGTCGTAAATCCAACAAATCCTTAACAGAAAACATCCAGGAAATTTGGGACACAGTGAAAAGGCCAAACCTAAGAATAATAGGCATAGAGGGAGGTGAGGAAGCACAGCTCAAAGGTGCCGAAAAAATATTCAACAAAATCATCGAAGAAAACTTTCCAAATCTGAAGAAGGACATGCCCATGAAAGTACAAGAAGCATACTGAACACCAAATGGGCTGGACCAAAGAAAAAAGACCCCTCGACATATAATAATCAAAACACCTAGCATACAGAATAAAGAAAGAATATTAAGAGCACCGAAGTTAAAAGACAGGTAACATATAAAGGCAGACCTATCAAAATTACACCTGACTTCTCCATAGAAACCCTCAAGGCCAGAAGGTTCTAGATAGATGTTCTACAAGTATTAAGAGAACACGGATGCCAGCCTACGCTACTATACCCAGCAAAACTCTCAATCACTACAGATGGAGAAAACAAGATATTTAATGACAAAGCCAGAGCTTCACAATATGTATTGAAAAACAAAAAAGTAAACCTCCCCACTTGAAATAAAGGACAGTCTGACCTGGAATTTAATAAGTTCCCTTCACAAGGCCCTGAGATGGCAGGATACCAAGAATTCACATTGTCCCTTCTTTGTGAGTCAACAGGTGGTAAATAGGGTCCTTAGGAAACAAAGAAATAGCTTGCCCAGACAAGAGTAATTAGCATACCCTGAGGCCCTAAGGTCTGATGACCCTAATAGCCAGAACATCCAGCCTCAAAGGGTCACTACTCAATTGAGAGAGGGTCACACCCCCTCCCTAAGCTTGTGGGTTTTGCCTTTAAAAACACCTATGTCGATTTCTATTTTTGTTTCCACAGAAAATGAAAAGATGTGGATTCCTTCCAGACTAATGTGGTTTGATCACGCCAGACCACCTGAAACAGAGTACAAGCTGATCCTACATTCAAAACA